TTTCTAGCCTAAACCAGGTACCACAAAAAAGCTTCGGAATGGGCCGAGTGATATAAAATATCAAAACCCTTTCAGTCGAGATTTGAGCGACTTTAAAAAGTTTTCAATTTTGTTTCCAGTGTTGGGAAAACCGGTTTAAAACTTCTGCGTTTTAGTCGAATTTCGAGAGAGTAAAGCGATCGAGTAAAGTCATTACATAATTATTAGACATTTAGGCAAAAATTTACTGTTTAACTACAAAGGAAACAAGTTTTGAAAACTTCAACATGCGTTTTTCATTTCGGCCCTTGAAATTTTCATAGCAAGTCAAATTTTTAGTGCAAAAATTAGGAGAAATTTTTGAAATACTTTTTGATTTTTTTTAGTTCATTTTCGTTTTCTTTATATGTTTTTTGAAGACAATTGTACTATTATATGCCTAATTTTACTAGTTTTCTTCGTGTTTGCTTAGTTCTATAATCACACCAACGACGCTAATTTGAGGATAACTTGATGATGTTTGCAGTTTTTTTGGAATGGGGTCGTAAAATTCTGTGCTACTACCCAGCAACCGGATACCCTTGTTTTTGAATTTAGTTTTCCAAAACAAAATAATTGTAAATTAAAGTTTACTATAAAAAAACTCAAGCATAAATTATTTTGTTTGTTTCAAAATTCGGAATAACACGCTTTCTCAAATCGGAAAAGTAAAGAATCATACGACTACCATCTATGATGTCTGAAGTGTTGTTGGTTAAAAAATCTAAGTTTCGAAGCATAGATTGATCATTTTTTTGGACGTACTCACAAAGTATTTGTCCAGCGAATAAAAAAATTGTTCCAAAATTAAGCGGATATATTTCTCATTTGGATCAGTTTTGGAAAGATTCCTGCCCTGGCTTAATTTAGCCCCCTACCTCTTGGACATTTAAAAAACACTTCCATTCTTATACTCAAAATGATCAATGAAAAAAAACTGACATAATTTTGAGCTCAATGCATCAGTGTCTTTCCACATGTATAAACTAATAGATCAGCTACTTTCTACTTACTTATTTGGGGCCTAGCGGAGATGCATTCAAAGACACAAATTTTTATACAATTCAGCCTTGCTTTTTTGTTAGCTTTTCCCGACTGTTTCATCAGTCGACCATGTTTTCTGCACTTTTCGAAAAAAAATACAAAATGTTTGGGGGCGTTTAAAACAAGCTTTTTGACTTTGTATAACTTACCGTTTTTCATCTCTATGTCATCACTAATCACATCATCGATATGTTCTTTCTCGTTCCATAGCTGCGTATGAGGTTCTAAAATGGAAAAAAAAATTGTTTTAGGTAGTGAACATTTGATTTTTAGTCAATGCAAAACAACAGCTCATTAGCATTAACTTGATTATAGTTCGAAATTTTTAACCTCATATATATTTTTAATAGAAATCAGAATTTAGGACTATGGATCTGAAGTTTAGCCAAATTTGAATAATCATTAAGATTGTTGTTAATTTTACACCAAACCGTAAATTTTAGCAAGACACCTTTTTCAGATC